ATGTGGTCTGAGGATGAAGCCTGAAGCTGGATTGTGCTGTGGCCTCCAACATCCAAGGCCCTCTCTAGTGCCATTCCATAGGGACTGACTTGGTGACCTATACAACTCAAACGGAAGGTCACAATCTGTTTTACATATTCAGGTTTCACTTGCACCCTGGGCTAGCCTAGCCAGAGAATGTCCTGAGTTCATTGCTCCACACCCCAGAGTGCAAAGCCAACTGTCCATCTCCTATTGGAGAGATTTAAGTGAAGCCCATAGGAGTAGATCCATCCACTTGGCTTAAGCTAATTACACTTGGGTGGGATGCAGTGTCAATTATTGCTGGAGTGATCAGGCCCACCCAGTGAAAATGCAAATCAAGATTGATGAGGGCTGCCAGTTTCTGTAGCGGCTTCTTTATAGGTGTGAAAGTTTTTCTCTAAAAGGCACCCAAGTCCATTAGTTGTCTGCCCCTTCCATCTATCATTATGGTCCTCAGGCTTCATGGTCAGGTTCTCATACCTGACACCTTCCTTGTGCCTGTGCTTTCATGGGCACAAGACTAGAGCTAAAGGTCAAGCCACAGAATGTTCCAGATCTGGATAAAGTACTGAAATCACTATCTGTAGATTTTTAACAGCGACAACCCTACCTAGCCATTCAGATCTGGCTTGCCATTTCTGCCTAGCCCATCACCCATCTCCCCAAATGATGAGCACAGGTCTCCATAGAAATCCTGGCCCACATTGACCTTTGTGACACAGTTCAGGGCTAAGCTGTTGCCTGGCACACAAACTGCAAATGTTTCCAAAATAAGTGATTCATTTTTGTCAATTTTTATTGACATGGGTGCGGGGGAGTTCAACTCCCAGAACTGTAGGGAAAAAATAGCATAAGGGATTTTATCCATTTTGTTAACATGGAATCGTTTTGTGTGTATGGGTTGGGGGTTGGGGTGTTGGATGCAGGTATGCTTGCCCTTTCAGAGGCTAGAGTAGGAAGGAAGTGGGTGTCTCTCTACTGTTGACACAGGCTACCTCATTGACTCGAAAGTTCAGTTTTTCAGGTAGGCAGGCTGACAAGAGACAGGATTACAAGTGCCCAAAGCCACGGCTGGTTTTCATTTTTACACTGGTGCTGGGAATTCAAATTCCGGTCCTTATTGCTTACATAGCACTCTTATCCCCCACCCACCCACCCCCTGGGCTCTGAAATAATAGTTGTAAGGACTACAGGTGTAGCTCAATGGTCAGCACTTGCCTAAACAAACATCCAGGGCAATGGAACCAATCACCCAATGGTAATTTACAATGAAAACACCTGTACTGTGTTTGAATGTCCAGGATAGTTTGGTTCACACAGAACTCACTCCTGAACTTGCAAGGCTCCTCAGCAAACATAGAGCAAAGGCCATCATACAAGTAATAGAAAATGGCGAGTCTAGTCTGTCATCCCAGAATGCCAAGCCTACATCAGGAAGTAGAACCGAGGTCTGGACAAAGTTAAAATTTTACCTTCCAGAGAAGGGCAACCATTGAGCCATTGATGGTTGCACCCATAAAAACATCTCAAAGCCATTGTGTTTTGCTAATTTGTTTGAGATGGGGGTGGGGTTGTTACTCTGTGGCCTGGCTGGTCTCAAACTTGCAGTGATCAATCATCCTAGTTCAACTTTCCTGCCTATTTCTTTTTTACCAGCTCTGGCCAGGTAGCCCCGTTGTACTGTACTGCAATCTCCAATCTCCACGTCCAGGGGGTGGTGTTTGCACACAACCAGCTGTACCACAGACACAGACTCAGAATTTTCTCAGCAAACCCATTAGCTTCATTTTTGGTTCACTTGAGCATTTAGTCTTTGTACTTAGCTTGTGACATAGGGACTAAGGCGGGGATGATAGTCTGCTCTCTCCAGGATTTGAGCAGTCTTAACCAGTTAAAACAAAGACTCCAAGTATTGACTCAGTTTGGCAGGTGTGAGGGCACCGCGGCTCCATGAGCCTGACAAGGAAGGACCGTGCCCTCTATATGCCATCAGCACATGTGTCTTACAGCTTCATCACTTGCTTTTTCCTCAGTACTAACGAGCACACATCTTGACAAAGACTTATGGAACTCTGTTTTTACAATCTCAAACCGGGATGTTGGCAAATAGTAACAACACCAACCACAATCCCAGCACTGTGGAGGTGAAGGTAGGGAGATCAGGAGTCCAAGGACATCCTGGAATATGTGATAACCTTGTTTAAAAGCCAACTGTGGATGGGCAAGGTAGCTCAGTGGATAAAAGTGCTTGCCTCAAAAAGCTTCCCAGATCCCATCATAGAAGAAGCTCACTCTCCAAAGTTGTCCTCTGTATTTGGACACAAGGGTGTCCAAATGTATCCCAGCCTGTGTTCGAAAGCACCACTCAAATATCAGACTGGGGTGGGAGAGATGCTGAGTGGTTAGGTGTATAAGGAGGTCCTTAGTTCAATTCCCAGCACATACATGGATCGACTGACAATTGCCTGCAACGCCAGCTCTCCCAGGATGCAAAACACCTCTGGCCTCCAAGGGCACGTGCATTATTGTGTATACACCCACATGCGTAATTTTTCTAAATCAAATACTCAAGCAGATAAGTATCCCTAATTCTTCCTAATGACTGAAAATACCTTGGTCACTCAGTAGTGCTGAGACCAATCCACAATATTTAAATATATACAAGTTTTTCCAAGTTAACACTTCAACCCACAGTATTTTAAGGAAAGCCTGGTGTGGTGGCCACATCTCGAATCCCGGCATTCTGAAGGCAACAGCAGGGAGAGTTTGAGGCCAGCCTGGTCTAGTCTACATAGTGAGTCCATCTCACAAATACAAACAAACAAAACAATAACAAAAACGCCCATACCATTTTCACAGCAGCACCAATTTCCCCAAGATTTTGGTTCATATGACAGGGGAAAAAAAAAGCATTCATACAAATCGATTCGAGCAAGCTTTGCCCAACTCAGTCATCTTCAAATCCCTCCTGATCATGCCACATTTATGCAACAGCGCCCAAACATTTGCTGAGTGTCTTTTACACCATAAGATTATTCAAATGCCGTAATTAACAAAAGAAACTCCAATGCAAAACATTTTAATAAGTTGTCGAATATACAGTTATTAGGGTTATCTAAATATCACTTATAAAAATCGATATATCACATTAAACGATTCTAGAAACACAGTGATGACCCTTACACTCCAAGAATATCCTGTTAACAAATTTACATACCCTGAAAAAGAAAACTAGAGACATTTAGACATTTACACCCAAGTACAGCAATACATTCATTCATCAAGTATAGGGGGCTGGCACTGTCACCTGTGTTCACTATGGACACAATTTGGGTGCCATTTTCCATGCTTTTGTATATCTTCCAGTATAGATCCCACAGCAGAGTGTCTCTGTATGCTTTTCCCCTTATCTAAGGGGATCACAAACCCTACCTTCAATAATTAAACTGTTAATCCTGTAAGTGGACACCAGGCCAATGTTTAACTACAATGATATATTTTTAAAAATTAAAAACAAAACAAAACAAAAAAAACTTAACTTTCTAGCAACTTAATGGCATGAATCATGGTGGCTCTTAATACAAGCTAGCAGAACAAGTTGGAAGACTTTCAAAATTGCCAGCAAAGAAGCCGACTCCTTCTCAAAATACCAGTATTTTATTTTATAATGCAATTACTCTGAAGTGAAGAAGTAACATATTGCTGATGTAAAATCTGAGGTCTACAATGTTCGCACTAGTAAGGGGTGACTGCAGTAACACTATGCTAATATTGTTCTAGAGGTGAGGTTAAACATGCCTTTACAAGCAAAAGTGGAATTAAAGTTGTTTTATGTTGTCTCTTAACTGCCACCCATCCAGCTGGAAAGTCAAGTGGTGGAAAGAGCTCTGCACTTCTAACCTCGCCTCACTTTCACTTGGTCTCAGCCCAAAAGTCAAAAAATGATCTGCCTCATTTGTAACTCAGTACTCACCACTTAAATCTTTTCCCAAACACTATCCTTAACAGCTTTAAATGCAGCTGTCTGTAGATCTTTGTGTTAAGGAAGTCCCTAGCAGCCACTACACCTACTTAGTCTGGTTCGCAGACCTACATTTGAGAGGGGTTGAAAATGCTTGGTGCATCTTGGTGAAGGAATCTCAGTGGACTGAGGGGCCAGGCTTCCAGAAACTACCCTGAGGGTAACCACATTCTAAAAAGGACTTGCTGTTTCTGGTCAATTAAACCATTGTAGGGGGAGAGAGAAAGAGCAACTGCAGCTACAAATAGACAAAAAATCAGGGTCAGGGGTCTGGGAGATAAGGGCAGCAGTGTAAATGGCTGGTTAAACAAAGCAAGTTTGAATGTTAGACTGTTACCAAGATTAGACCTCAAGTGGAGTGGTACTAACATTCGGCATTCAGAGGACAGCCTCAGTGCCTGTCATTTCTCAGTTTAGTCCTCCTCCCTGCCTACACATTCCAAATTCAAAAACAATGGCAAAATAGTCCGGCGTTGGTGGCACATGCCTTTAATCCCAGCACTCAGGAGGAAGAGAGGCAGGAGGATCTCTGTGAATTCAAGGCCAGCCTGGTCTACAGAGCAAGTTCCAGGACAGGCTCTAAAGCAATACAGAGAAACCCTGTCTCATAAAACAAAAACCTAGAAAGAGAGAGAGAGAGAGAGAGAATTGCAACTAAATTATGGAAATTCATTTCCCCCCAAATGTTCCCGATGGGTAGAGCATCGCCATAGAGCATCTCAACCACTGAATTACAGGACATCACCATTCAGAAAATAGTTCTTACTCAGTTGAGCAGCCTGTATGTAGTGTGGGCAGTAAGAGTGCACAAGCCCTTTCAGGCATACAAAGCAAAGCATCCCATCCTAATTTAACACCCTGACTGTCAGAGCCACTTACACACATTTTCAAAACACTCTTGAAAGACTATTTAAAGATTTAGCAACAATTATAATATATGCAACTTCCATCCATATTAAAATAATTAATGTAAATACTTTATTATAAAACTATTTTACAATTTAAACTTTTATTTGAGAAACATATTCACATCCACAATTTCTTAAAAGTACTTTCCATGAGTGCATCCCATAAGAAATACACTAAAATCATGTTGGGTGGGGAGGGGCTAGCATTCTCATCAGTCCAAATCACCTTCTCATTTGCTTAGTTCTTAAGTATCTGTGTGTTCACATATGCTTGGCTAGGTGATGGATGCCTCGTCCCCAAAGTGGCAAATCTCAGCATCATTTTATAAGACAGGACAGACTAGAAAACGCCACAGGTTGGTTACATAAACACATTAATCACATCATCAAAAAGCATAATCAAAAAATAACATAAAGTGGGCAACAGTGGTAAAATGTAAACAAGAAGAAATGAATGTTAATCCCTTCCCTGAAAAGCAGAGATAAGAATTACTTCCTGTTTTATTCAGACAAAACCTAGTCTTCAGAAAGGCAGGATGCTGGCTTTCAAAATGTTTGAAATAGCTGTAGATGAAGACTTCACTGAGCTGAAGTGTGCCCGAGGCTTTGTATACTTGAGCTGACTTATTCATGGTACATAGCCTGATACCATCCCAAACTGCCCCTTAAGAGTCAAATAGTGTTCCCCAGTTGAGCTTGAGAGATACTGAATCACACCGTAAGGAAAAGGTAAGACTCAAAGTTCTCTAATAATTATGCTTGAATCTCACTCCCACAAAATGAAAGAAAAAAAAACATCTATAGCCAGCACACACTTGGGCAGAGAACATTAAGTCCTTATGGAGAACATTTACTGTGCCCCCCCAAGTGAAAACCAGGAAAACTTCTGCACATGCCCGAGTCACTCTGGCTAATGACCCAGTTATGTAGGGTTCATGTTTGGGTGTAGGCATTTGAAATCTACCCTTCGATGGGGTAAGCTAAGTGAGATAAACTTAAAATTCCCTCCACATTAAAGAAAATGGTTCAAGGGCATAACAGTTTTATTTGTAATTCTGAATGAAAAAGGGATTTAAAAAAAAAAAGGTCAAGTCATAATTCAAAAATATTTTCCAGATACAACAAGCTGTTCAATTATTTTAAAACATCAGTGAGTCAAAGTGCAAGCAATTATAGCATTGACCTGACAGCAAAAGGATTTGCAAATTTAATTCAATTTTTAAAATATTTTATCAATAAATAACTAGCCAATTTGAAAAAGGTGGTGGGTGTAAAATAAACATAACACTATACATCTATTTTTTTTTTCAAGTTGCCTGCCCTTGCTCTGAGTGAAATTAAACTATGATTTCTCTGTTAGATGCTACAGGGGTGAAATCTAGGCAAGGTTCTGTTCTATGCCAGGCAGGCATGGCATTCCGGCACTGCCTAACCAAATTCTGAGAAATGCATTTATGCTAAGGCCTGATAGTAAATGGGGATACGTTTTTTTTTTTTTTTAAATGGATTTTTTTTTTAACGGAAAGACTCTCAAAAATAATTTAAAGAAGAAATAAAATCAAGTCTCCACCATCCACCTCTCTGAAGCCAAATTGGTGACAAAAAGCATCGCCCTTTATGACACTTTTCACAACAGAGTAAATTAAGACTTTTTCCATAAATAAAATCCTTGAGAGAGAGAGAAAAAAAGTAATTTGTCCTTTACAAATAATCAATCTCTCTTCTCTGGACCCTAGCGAGGAAAAATTTGTGCTCTTAATTCCAAAACTGTTGCTGCTGTGGCAAGCCATGTGCCTCACTCACCCTTCCCATGAAGGGTGGCAGGGAGCACGGAGAAGGAACTTCGGGGACCCTGCTGGTGGAACGTGCCCATGTAAGCACCTTTTATCCGCTGCTCTCTGCTCTTTAACATGGAGTCCACACTGCCTTGTCTCTGTCTAAAATGTTTTCCGGTTCTAGGGAGCCTCGGGCACACTGGTCCTGAAGAAAACAAGAAGCACTTTCCAGATCTTAAGGTGGTCTGACAACGTCATAGTTTACATACGGCTCACCGGCAAGGCTGGGTGGACAGAGATTCCATGGTGACTGACTGGCTTACACAAAGCTATGGGAACTCTGAATGACTGAGTAATGGTTTGCACTTTGTGAAAGTGTTACAGCTGTTTACTCCCTGTCCCACATAATTCCCTGCTCGACATTCCTGTTTCTTTATTCTTCATAGTTTTCTAATGAGCAAATTAGTATTCCTGAGTAAGAATATAAAAAAGTTAACCTTCTACCAAAAGTATAAAGACAAATAAAACGTTGACTCACAATACAAACTTTTTACAGAGCGTTACAGGTACACAGCTAATGCTCTCCACGGTGATTGGCCCACTCATTCATAGACTGCAGTGACGCTCAACTGTCTAAAATACTCCGAAGTACAGCAATCAAATGCTTCAGACCGTAAACATAGCCCTCATCTACTGTGTTGCTAGGGAACACATGAGCAAAGTCTATCATCCTCACTTCTGCTTCTGTGATCTCCTGACGACCCGCGGGAAGGTGGTAGAACACCTTTTCCAGTTGGGAAAGTACGTTTCCGTTTAAATGTTCCTGGGACATGCTTTTCCACCCATTGTCTTGCTCCAGAGTCTCGACTTTCAATGAAGTTTGACTGTGGTGCTTTTTGGAGTACAGCTTCCTGTGTCTCGCGTACACCTTGGATAAGCTTTTGCCTACTGACGTCCCATTGGCCGGGGAGCCGAACAGGTGAAAGTTGTTATTGCACTCCAGTGCGTCTGCGTCCGACAGGTGGCCTTTGGAGAGAAACTTCCCCGCCAAAGTTCTATCATTTGATTTTGTAGTAGCTGGCTGAGATGAACCTTCATAAACAAACAGTAATGAGCTTGCATAAAAGTTAAGCTGCTTCTGACTTTCAAACCATTGAAGAATCTTCTCAACCTTCTGAATACTGGCCGCAATCGCGTCTTTTCTTAAACAGAAGCCATTGTGGAAAAACTTGGAGACACCTGTAAACGAGATACATCAGTTAGGGTCAAACTGTGCAAGCGGCCACTTGAAGAGGGAGCTCATAGCAGATAAGTCTTCATTCTGCCACCCCTTGCCTTCAAGCTAATCAAATCATTAATTCCTCAGTGAGTGGGTGACATGTAGTAACCACAGACAATAAAATTACTTAAATGACACCAATACACCAATATTAAAGCAAAATTCCTATAAAGACAAGCATTCGTTGCAGGTAGACAGGTGGTTTAGTTCTTGCTGTAAATGGTATTAATTAGTATTGAGAAGGAATCCAAGGCTTGGGGTGCAGCCCTCTGCCAGCCATGAGAGGCAGGAAGACTACATGGTCAAGGCCTGCTGGGCCGCTATGAGCACAGGCCAGAGCAGGGAACTTGGTGAGTCCATCAATCAAAATTAAAAAAAGCAAGAAGATGGCTAGTGATGCATATTGATTGAGCACCTGCCCAGTGTACACTGGAAAAGAAGAGAGGAACGGAGAGAGGAACTGAGAGAGGAAATGGGGGGGGGGTTATTAGCCCTCTTTTTAAACCACACCTTAATGGGCTGAACAAATGGTTGAGCATTAAGCACTGGACTCTCTTCCAGAGGACTCAGGTTCATGTCCCTGTACCCACACGGGACTCACAACCATCTCTAACTCCAGTCCCAAGGGATTTGATCCTTCTTTTGGCCTTCATGGGCACCATGCAGGTATGTACAAGGTGAACATACATATATACTGGGGGGTCGGGTGGGTGGGGGAATCCATACATATAAAATAAAAATAAGTCTTAAAGAAGTAAAGCTACAATGTAATATTTAATCATACTTGGGAATGTACTGGTTAGGCAACTTGCTTTTATGTAATGTATTTCTCCACTATGAGACACAAACTGTTAAGAAATGAAGTCAATCATCAAGGAAATGCAAATCAAAAATACTTTCATCCTAAACCAGTCAAAATGCCAAGATCAATAAAACAAGTGACAGCTCATGCTGTCAAGGATGTGAGAAGAGTAACACTCATTCATTGCTGGTGGGAGTGTAGTGCAAGCTTGTACAGCCAGTGGAAATCAGTGTGGTGTTTCCTCAGGAAGCTGGGAGTTAATCTACCCCAAGATCCAGCTATACTACTCTTGGGCATATACCCAAAAGCATGCTAGAGTCACTTGCTCAACCATGTTCATTCTGCTCTATTCTTAACAACCAGAAATTGGAAACAAACTAGAGGTCTGTCAACAGATGAATGGATAAAGAAAATGTGGTAAATTACAAAGTTGGGTATTACTCAGCTATTAAAATAAAATAAAATCATTAAATTTGCAAGTAAATAAATAAAAAAAAAAAGAAAATAATCATCCTCAGTGAGGTTACCCAGACCCCCAAAAGACAAATGGTATGCATTCATTTATATGTGGATGTTAGCTGTTTAAGTCTTCAATAAGCAGGCTGCAATCCATATAATCACAGAGGTTAGGCATACAGTAAGGGACTAGGAAGGAGGTCGGGTCACCCCGGGGAGGGGAAATAGAATAGTTAGGGACAGGAAATGTAGTGTTTGAATGGGAATGGTTCCCATAGGTTTACAGAATTGAATGTTTGGTTACTAGGGAGTGGCACTAATTGGAAAGATTGGGAGGTGGTACCTTGTTAGAGTTGGTGTGGCCTTGTTGTAGGAAGTATGTCACTGTGGGTGGGCTTTGAGGTTTCAAGAGCCCAAGCCAGTCCCCATGGCATTCTCTTCCTACTACCTTCAGATCTGGAAGTGGGAATCTCAGCTACCGTGTCCGCCTGCATGCTGCCATGCTCCCCATCCTGATGTTCAAGGGCCAAACCTCAGAAACTGTTAGCAAGCCCCACCTAAATGCTTTTCTTGATAAGAGTTGCCATGGTCATGGTGTCTCTTCACAGCAACAGAACACAGACTAAGACAAGGTGAAGGGAACAGAAGGGAGTAAGATAGGAGCTATGGGAAGGGACAGCTAAAATGAAGAGCCATTTGAAGGGTTGTGTGGAAACCTAATACAGTGGAAAGGTCCTAAAATATAAACATATCATGAAGATGATCTAAATGGAATCACCAAGTAATGGGGAGATGGAGCCCTAGATGGACACCAAATGAAGCATCCCATTGTAGAAATGGATTACATCTAATTGAGTTGTTGACCGAAGGGAACTCCATAAGAACCCCCAAGCAACCCAGGCTGTTACCAAGGCCATTGGTTGCTACCCACAAACTGGTGGTAAGACCCTATTGCTGAAGTACATATACAACTCACTGAACATGAGGAAGTTGACTGGTCCCTACCTAGAGCCTTCACCCCTAATGACTAGTGTTCAGGGTATGGGGAGGTACGCTGCATACTACCAAAGGAGAAAGGTAAACACCAACCCAGCTACAGACCCTTCTATCTACTACACTGGCCTACCTTCAAGATGCACTAGTGCAATAGTGGCACAAAGATTATGGGAGTAACCAGCTAATATCTGATTGAGTTAAGGTCCACTCCATGCAAAGGAACCCATCCCCAACACTGATCAGGTGACCAGGAACCAAACACTAGATAGGCCAGGAATGTAAGGGAAAACCAAATACTACTGTTCTGCTAAAGAACTGGGCCAATAAAATAGTACCTAATGCCATTCTGCTATACCCATGTATCAGTGTCTTGCTCAGCTATCATCAGAGCTTTTTCCTGCAGTAGATGGGACCAAATACAGACACCCACAGTCAGACAATGTGAAGAGAGTGAAAGACCTAGAAACACTCAGTCCTAAATGGTACTCTCCATCAATTCCCTCCCCTCATGTACCAGGGAACTCTGCACAAGAGGAGGAGGAAAGATTGTAAGTGTCAGTGGGGATAGAAGACACAAAGAAACAAGGCCTTCTAAACACAGCAGGACCACGGCAGCACACACAGAGCCTGATGGGGCTTTTGGCACTGAGAGGGGAAGTGGACACAAGCCCCCATCCCTAACACAGAAGCTATCTCCAGCTGATAACTGCTCTCAAAAGAAATATAGTTTCCCCCAGTGCAGTCTTGGTAGATACACAAACCACTCTTAAGTCCAGGCCTTAAGACCTGTGGGTCATTGGGGCCTCCCTGCCTCCTGGTCACCAATTTGCTCCTCATGGCTCCTTCAGTAATGTGTCCAAAGCAAAGATACCACATAACACACTGAAAACCGAACCAGAATAAAGGCTTCTTCCTGGATGGGTTGCCTTAGAGATTTTATCTCAGCAGTAGGAAGCAAGCGGGCTAGCAAGCTTCCTAGTACGATACTAAAGGAAGCATAAAAGGAAGGGGTGCACTCACAACTCACATTTGCATATATTAGGGTTCAGGGATAATGGTAAACCTACTTCTGTCTATTTAGGTTACTTTTTTTAAGTTTACGAGTCGAACCGTTATTCCACAGGAGAATTGAAACAAATGCGATTAGAAGCATCTTGCTAACTGCAATAGGGAAGCGTTCACTTTTGGCGCTCACCTTCCTTTAAGGTCTCTTTTGTTAAGTTTCTTCCATAGTGCTGGTTCTGTGTCTCGTAGCTGTCAGAGTGAACATGATAAACCTGTCAAGATAAAAGAGCAATGAGCATTCAAACACTAATACGGGTGCCCTTGGCCATGCCAGGTGATTTCAGGCTAGTTACACTATCCCTCATGCAGATATGAAGAGACTCATACTGCCACATGAGCAGGGGCTAAAACAGCACCTAGCATTCAGGAGCCCCACTTCTGAGAAGCTGCTAAGTGTAACATGGATTTTTAATATGACAGAATTATCTTTTTCAACTCATCAGAATTGATGACAAATTTACAGGGCCAAGGTGAAAGCATTTCCTAAAATTGCAAGTTTGGGGAAGGAGAAGCAAAAGGTCAGAAGTTCAAGGTCATCCTTGGCTACACAACATGTTTAAAGCAATGGACTGCATGAAATTGCACAAAAAAAGAAGCTGAAGTGGAGAGGAGCTGGGATACAACTCAGTGGTACTTTCCCAGCATGCCAATGGCCCTGGGTTCATTCTCCAGCCCCAATAAAAGCAGGTGTGGTTGCACAGGCCTGTACTAATCAGCACTTGGTATCAAGGGGATCAGAAGTTCAAGGTGAGTTAATCCACACAGCAAAAATGACACTTTAAGAGATGGCATCTTCAAAACCAAAACAAAGGCTTCCCAAAAAAGCATTTTTGCTACAATGTCTTTAATCATTACTTACAGCTAAAATTATTCTAGAGTCTGGTGGCCAGGTGGTGGTGCATACCTTTAATCCCAGTTTAGGGGAGACAGAGGCAGGAAGATCTCTGAGTTCCAAGCCAGCCTGGTCTACAGAAGAGTTCCAGGGCAGCCAGGGCTACATGGAGAAACCCTGTCTTGAAAAACCAAATAAATAAATACAAATAAAATGAAAAAAAAAAAAAAAAAGATTATCCTAGAGTCATTAACAAATGCAAATGGATGAGAAAAAGCAATGAGCTTAAGACTTGGTTCAGCCCTTAACAGCTTGAAGCGCATCTGTAATCAATCCCAGCACTCAGGAGGCAGATGAAGGAAGATCTCTGTGAGTTCAAGGCCAGCATGCTCTACATAGTGAATTCTAGTACAGCCAGAGCTATGTACAAAGACCTTGCCTGAGAGAAAGGGAAATAATAATAATTAATAAAAGCTTGTAGTGCTCTTGCAGTGGACCAGTATTCAATTCCCAGCACCCAAATTAATTGGGTGGGTGGCTCATACAGTCCTGTAACTTCAGCTCCAGGGTCAGAAGCCAGGGACCTGTCCTTATGTGCACCTACCCTCCCCCACATACACATAGTTTGATTGGCTAGAAAATGCAACAGAAGCAAACACACACCTCCAAGACAATGCAATACCAAAAGTGTGACTATACTAAAGACAATCTTCAATTAAAACACAATTGCAGTACAACCATTTTTAAACCATATACACTAATTCTAAAGCTCACAGAGAATGGGGTACAGGTTCGTGCCTGGAGGCCCTAGCAACCGGTTTGTTTCAACCCAGGAGTGTTACATCGGCCTAGGCAGCATAGGGAAGATCCTCTGAACAGAGGATAAAAAGGGGGAATATTTATACAGTACAAGAAGAAGAACTAGGGAAACCAAGGCTTTAAAAAGTAGGACTAACCATAGTATATTATCTGATAGCAGAACATATTTTGAATCAAGTACATGTGAGACTTTAGTATATAACAAAAACTTGGCTCACTATAAAAAAATGGACCATTCATTAAGTGGTGTCAATATAACTAGGAAAAAAAGATGCTACAAATAAATCCCAAACACAACAAAGATCAAAATACACAAAATCATAATAATAAATAAAACCAATGTCCTCTCTTTAAAGATCAAAGACTAACCCTGAGGAACTGACTGATACAGAAATCTTCATGCCATAGAGTACAGCATTTCTACACTGAAGAAATCTAAATACAAGTAGAGGAAATCTCTGTGAAATTTGTCTGTGAACACACTGCATGATCCCACTTCAAGAGACTTCACAGAAACCACACAGCCCTCATTCTTACCAAAGCAGAGTTCCTGCCCCAAATTCTAACCAGCAAAGCCATCTAAGCAATTAATCTCAACCGCGGGTTGTGACCCCTTTGAAGTCAAACAAGCCTTTCACAGAGTTCACCCAAGACCATGAGAAAACACAGACATTTACTCTATAATTCATAACAGTAGCAAAACTAGTTAGAAGTAAGTATCCATGAAAGCCTAGCTATGGCGGCACAGGCCTTTATCTCAGCACTTGGGTGGCGGAGGTCAGCCTGATCTACATAGCCAGGGCTACACAGAGAAACCCTGTCTCAAAAAAGAACAACAAAAAAAGGAGTATCAATGAAAATAATGTTATGGTTGGGGGGTCACCACAACATGACCAACTGTATTACAGAGTCACAGCTTTAGGAAACTTGAGAACCACAGGGTCTAAGACATTGCCAAATGCCTGGCCAGGAGCAAAGTTCCCTGGCTGAAGACTGCCTTAGCCATCAAAAGCTGTAGGCTCATATAAGCCAGCACTCCACCTCACAGACTTGTGCCAGGACACACTGCACAGTGGTAGAAAGAGGCAGACCCATGGCTCACGGTGACATGGTGGGTGAGAGCAAAGCCTGGAAACAATCATGGAGCCATCAAAAGGAGCATGCTCCATTATGGTATGATATTATGAGCCACTGAGATCCCAGGATATGTTAAACAGGGAAAAGAGCAAGACACAGCTTTTTGTGACTGAGAGCTATGTTATGGCAACAAAATTACACAGGAAAAAGACTGCTTTGGTTTTTATGGGGAGATGGCTCAATCTGCAACTCAACAACCCACCCAGCATAGTAAACATGGGGTTTCTTACAACAAACAAGAGCAAAAGCCCACAATGAATAGGCAGAGGTTGAAGAGGTTTGAGAGCTGGGAGGGAAGGAAAGCCAGGGCTCATGGGGAGAGCTCCCTTTAAGCTGGAAACCCCGTCCTAAGAGAAGGTCAGAAGACTGCAGAACATGTGAGGAGTAAGGCGAGAGGTTTGTGGAGTTGGCTCCCTCTTTTGCCTTACGTGATTCCTGGGGCCATACAAGTTGTCAAGTTTTCACAGAAAGCTCTTCTGCCCAATGGGCCATTCTACTGGCCCCCTTTTGTCTTTTTTTTATGCACTCATGTTTATTATAGTTTTTTTTTTTCTTTTTTTAAAGACAGGGTTTCTCTGGTTTTGGAGGCTGGGAGGCTGTCCTGGAACTAGCTCGGAAGACCAGGCTGGTCTCGAACTCACAGAGATCGGCCTGCCTCAAACTCCTGAGTGCTGGGTTTAAAGGCGTGGACCACCAATGCCCGGCTTATTATAGTTAAATGAAAACCTGCTTCAACAATTCCTTTACTTTACTGATCAAGTTATCAAGTCCAGCATGGGATGTACTTTGCTGTCATTGCTGGCACGTTAGCAATCTCCCACAAAGCTTCCTACCAACGCCTGAAAGGAAGATCATCGTTCACTTGACCATGTTGCAAGCTGCAATCACCAGGCACATCTAGACACACTATTGGTTTGGAGGACCACATGCCACATTACTTCCCAGACATAGTGACGTCTACAAAATGGTTTCAGCAATCCTTCCTTCCTATCACATGCATTCTGGTATTTACTTGTGTTGTGACATCAGAGGTCGAGAGCAATCACATGACAGCCCAACTAAATGACACAAGCTGTTCCTGCCTCTGAGGCCCCTGCGCTGGCTCCTCAGATTATAACCCCAGGGCATGGATGCTCAAGTCAACCTTCTACCAGATGGCACATGGACAAAGGGCCAGACCATGAGAGACCCAAGCAGCCCCAGTCACCAGATGACACCAACCCTACGTCTATCCTGAGGTGAACAGTATGTACACATATCAAAACAAATATCTGTCTTATGTGTCAGTGAAAATAAAAAAAAGTATTTTATTTGGGTTTTTCGCGACAAGGTTTCTCTGTGTAACAGCTATGGCTGTCCTGGAACTTGTCCTGCAGACCAGGCTGGCCTTGAACTCACAGAAATCCACCTGCCTTTCCTGGGATCAAAGGCGTGCACTACCACCGCCTGGCTAAAATAAAAAAATTTAAATGTTAATTCATAGAACTCTGTGCAAATAAAAAACTATTTAAATAAAAATATGAAATAATGTGGGTTTTTTTTTTCTATTTATAAAACAGTTCTTTTTTTCCATAGCACTTGGGAGGCAGAGGCAAGTGAATCTCTAAGTTCAAGCCCAACCTGGTCTACAAAGCAAGTTACCAAACAGTTAGAGCTGCAGTGATAACCTGCGTCCAAAAAAAAAAGAAAAAGAAAAACCCCAAAAGTATAAAATAGTTATTTTTTTATAGGGAAGCTACAATAAATATGTAGCTTTTAGCATTTATTGTGCACTTAGACATAAAACTTCTTTAAAACAAAATTACCAGCCTGTTAGGGCCTGGTCACTATATATTAATTACTTACTAGGCGTCAGGACCAGCCACTGACCACAGACCAGTGAGCAACAGTTAAGTCCTGCCCTCGTAGCTCACACACGTCATGGACAACCCAACTGCACAGGGCACCGAGCTGGGATAGCACCTGCAGCCCCATGGAGTGAGTGGTATGTAAGGGAAACACGCACACCTCACCAACACCACTCTTACCCTCATGCCGAGCACCAGGAACCCGATCTCCTCCATCAGAGGGTACTTGCTGACCTGCTGCTGGATTTTCTCTGATGAGGCAAAAGGGTCGTAGCTCTTCCGTCCTATCTTCACATCCATGATGCAGGGCTTATTAAACTTATGGGTCACATCTTCCAGTTTTAGGTATACATCTGCTGTCAGAGAAAAACCTTAATTAACGAAAGGCCATCATGTCACTCAGATAACCTCCAGAGAAGAGAGAAGAGGAAATGCTGGAGGAGAAAAGACTTAAGGTAAATCTGGAGTCCACAGATTCGTTAACAAGCATAAACATCAGAGAAATTCCTCCCATGTGTGACCGCAGATGTCACAGTAGCAAAGTGAGTGTGCAGCATTAAAAAGCTATGGGAACACCATCCCCCATGAACAGTAATGCCATCTGGGCTCAGAAAGAGATTTCTTAGTATTTAAGAATCTTGTTCTTTGTTTAACATCAGTAAACTGGGGACTGAATCCAACTGACACCACCAAATTCCCCATTGCTACTTTCAAATGCATTGTTGCTCTGTCACTCACCTCAGCGCCCTGCACACACCTGCCCACAGAAAACTTGCTGTCACACCACAAAGACCCCTTCTTTAAAACTACCCAGGTGCAAGGAGAAAAAGAAGAGAAATAATTCTCCCTCTTTCTAAGGAGAACAATCCTGACAAAATTCTCAATGAGATCGTGATTCATGTTTTAGTTCTCAGGCTGAGGAGATGAATGTGTGGGTAGACACATACAAGCACCAGGAGTGAGGTGAGTTAGCATCCCTAGGACCCACGCAAAGCTGAACAAATAATCTATAGTTCAAGGCCCTCCTACAAAGAGATGGGAAGCAGAGGTAAGATCCTTGGGAACTTGCAGGAATGCCATCTGGCATATGCAGCAGCCATTAGGGGATCATGTCCCAAACAAGGTACAAGGTGAGACCCAAGGTTGTCCTCTGACTGCTGCATGTATGTGGTGATTTATACATGCACATGCATGCAAAATGTGTGTACACATAGTACATAGTTAAGTTGGGAAAAGTGTGCATTTCCTCTAAACCAAGTAAAAGGCACCTGTGCACTAACGATGTCCCTTTTTCCTGTCCCACCCAGACTGGCACAGTTTTGAAATTACAACAAAGATGCTTCTGTGGAACCAAATGAGAACAACTTGGGCCTTCAAAATTGTCAAAGCCCTCAGACTTGTTGGGTTAAATCTTCTGCAGAGGAAGAGGGGTAAAGAGGTAAACATCCCTTGATCAAGCATGGCAGGCAAGTTAGCATTGGGTCAATGGGACAGCAGCCTGGAAGAGCACTACAAGCAACCTTGGAGCCTGAACCTGAAAGCAAGCTGCCCAGGCACCTTGCCAACAGGCCTGGACATAGCACCAGCACAGACCCAAATAGCAAAGGACAGGTGGACAGATCTCAGCTGGACACAGCCAAGCTTCTGTGTTTGAAAAGACAACCACAGGATGGAGAGTCTGGGAAAGGATAGCTTCACTCTCACTACAGTGTTGAAGAATATCAAAGACAAGGCTCACATCCCAAGTATAGTAAAGACGAAGGACCGTAATATGGGAGATACCTAGCAATGCAACAACATCATCATTAACTTGGAGATGATATCGGAGTCAGACTGAGGTAAGGCTGAGTATGAGTGTGTACTGTCAGCTGGGAGGCCTGCACACATCTCAATGGAAGGCTGTTTTCCATGTGTCAAATGTGTGTCTCTTGATAATTTAGACATTGACCTGCAAACCCAACGTTGTTCTTTCTTTTCCTCCCATTCAGTGAATGTCTACAAAACTGCACTGGACACTGTGGACCCAGCCTGCCTTACACTACAAAAGATTAAGTGATTTCTTCAATAACTAGGGCCCAAATGCAAGGTTTTACTTAGTGTTTAGCTCAAATAGCCAAGTGCATGTTTCTTTAATTTACTGGGTTCTCATGTGTCTATGCTTGGAATTACATCACAGCAAGATCACTAGCATTCAACATGAAAATGAATTAAGGTCTTCTGAGGATTGCATGGGTGTTTTCTTTCCATTCCCTAGCCTCTATTTTATATACACGCACCCAAACACACATATGCACATGCACACACACATACACACACAGAAATCAGAATGGTAACCCACTCCCTTTTTTCTTTTTTGGTATTTTGAGACAGGGTCTTCCTAGGCTGGCCTTGAACCCACAGCACTCCCCATTTTAGCCCTTCCCAGTGCTGAGACTACAAGGGTGAAATACTTTGCAACTAAGATTCGCATTTGGCCAGGCAGTGGTGGCCACACCTTTAATCTCCGCATTTGGGAGGCAGAGGCAGCAGGATCTCTGTGAGTTAGAGGCCAGCCTGGTCTACAGAGTGAGTGCCAGGACAGCCAGGGCTACACAGAAAAACCTTATCTCGAAAAACCAAAACAATTTTCAGTTGTATCTTTTCTTCAAAGCTGTAAAAACTAAACATCAAAATCTGCTTTAGGCATGCTGAGTTCTAGGCCTCTGGGGAGGGAGATGCTTGTCATCTCAGCACTCAGGAGGCTGAAGCAGAAGCTCTGTAGACTGAAGACCAGCCTAGCATCATAGTTATCAGGCCAGCCCTGGGTACAGAGCAAGAGCTTGTTCCAAAAAACACAAAAAGAAATGAACACAACTGTTCTTAGGAGAGAACTGGGGCTGTGTCATGAGCAGCTTAACACAAGCTTTTAAAAGGGAGAAATAAGAAAGTGGGCCACAACCTGAGTGCCAGACTCTTAGGCCCACAGTTGTCTTGGCTTTAAACCTGAATACTGTTTTTCACTTTGAAAAATGTCACTAGCAAATTCTCTAAGTGGTATAAGTAGAATAAAGCTCAAGTCAAAGTAGGTCAGTCTGGGACTCAGTTCTGTAAAGATCAAAGGCATTCTGGTATAGGACTGTCTTCTGAGGCAACTGCACACCAGTAACAAAAACTGTCTTTTCCTGGAGGTCCCTCTGGGTTCAGAGTAGAGTGGTGTTTTTCATGTGTAGGTCGCAACCATTAATGAACTGTGGACTGAAGGGAAGGAGGAAGAGATCCCTAGCATATAGGAAATACAGATGTGGGGCTGGTCTCCCGCTATACAGCCTAAGGCGTGTCACAAAAAGTTGCTGTGCATCATGGAGCAATACAGACCTCAGAAGTGCTCTTGTCATAGTCTGGAACCCAGCCCACAGACAGTTATTGGGACAGGCAAACATGTGACACTTGGGATTCAGAGGAGACCTACTTGTGACAGTTCTCTGGGTCTTCAGTTGATGTCACAACATGTAATCCCCTTTGTGAGAAGTGAGTGATCCCTTTAGTTGGGAAAGGAAGGGCACATGCAGAAACAAATGTCAGCTCTACCATGTCCTGTGTTAGCCTGTGCCATCTAGCATGTCCCTGTACTTCAATGGGATGTACAGATTAGGGTTCAGCAGAGACCCACCATGAAATAGAGGCATCATGGTCCAGGGTGCCAACGACACTCTGTGTCTGGACCATGTGTCCAGAGTGTCGTGCCTCAAGTGACAAGGCACCACCCTGAGGCACACAGGTAACAGCATTTAAGCCTTGCCTTCCAGAGCTGCTCCAGAGGAACAGAAATAATGTTTTATCTACAACAGTGCCTGGTGCCACATGGTACTCACTGAGCACTGGGACTGAACGGCAAGGTCACCATGCATGCAAGTTGAACTGCAGCATCCAGGATAAGTATAAGTGCAAGTTGATTCCCTGGAGCGAACCCTTCCCCTCCTCAGGAAGACAAATACAATATAATAACCACAAAATAAAAAGGCATAATCACAACTCAATCAGGCCCTTGATAATAGATGCCCTCCACCCTGAAGCTAATCCTAAGCCTTGGCCCACAGTTAAACATTAACAAGAACATCTATTTATTACATATTGATTTTATCTCAAGCTGAAAAGAGCTAAGACGGCAAAATGCAATCTGACTGCCAGGTTCAAGCAGGCCCTTGCAGGTGCTCTGCCCAACCATCATGGGGATCTTCCTAATTTCCTCCCTTCCCACACAGACACACCTGCTTGAGCTGCTGCCAACTGCACCGGGTTTCTCCCTGCTTTGATCCTGCTACGGAAAGCCTTATGGATTAGTTTCTACCGTACACAGGAAAAATATTGCAACAGATGTGAGACCTGCTTTTCTGATGCTGTATTTCCTTTCTAATATGTTGTATTCATAGCAAAAAAACAAAAAAACAAAAAAAACATCAGGCAGTGGTGGCACACACCTTTATTCCCAGCACTCTAGAGGCAGGTAGATCTCTGTGAGTTCCTGCCTTGGTGTCAAATTTGACTGTTTTATCTGCATATATGTATAGGCACCAAGGGTGTACAGATGCCTGATAAACCAGAAAAGGTATCAGAGCCCCTGGAGTTCTAGATGGTTATGAGCCACCTTGTGGGTGCTGGGAACTAAATCCAAGAAAAGCCAGTGCCCTTAACCTCTGAGCCATCTCTCCAAAAACCTTATTCACCCAAGTATCTCACTACCTAGACCCCTACCCACACTGCCCTCAGGATCAAGCAGCAGTGGTCAGCACAGTTCACCAGGACCTGGATAACCAAGCTTCATCTCCAGTCTCATGAATGGCATTCTTGACTCGTGCTGCTCCCAGCAGAGGGGTAAGGAAAGATGCTACAATGGGAAGTTCACAACCACGTGTTAGACAGAATACAGAGAATGAGGACCTGTGGATGTAGCGGCATATCACATGCCTTTAATCCCAGTATCCAGGCAGCAGAGGCAGGCCAACCAGAACTACACATCGAGACATAGTTTCAAAAGAATTTAAAAATTAAAAAAACAAACAAACAAAAAGGACCCACGGGCAGTTACAATTAAAGGTCTGTGGAGTAATTACTCAGAATGCTATTCTCAATCATAAACATCTGCATATATTTGGGACTAAGTCCTTTAAACCAGAAAGTGAGACAGACAGCAGAAGAAAACTAGACTCCAAGACACATGCACAGGATCTCATTTCTCCTCTGTGGCTCTTCCCAGGGGTTCTCAAAAGACTGAAAGTCAAGGCCTGCAGATTGGGAGTAAGGCAGAAGACAGAAGCTATGCCAGGCAGGCACTTCTGTCTGGGCTCTTAATGTTTTACTCTTTAGATAAGAAACGGACATTTGTAAATTAGTACAGTACTAAGATGTTCTCACAAAATTGTAGCAGATTTATCAGTTAATGTGTAACATGTCATTCAAGAAAATGGTGATAAAAGTGAAAGCACCAGTGAGTTTTGTTTAGTGAAGGTAGGAAGGGAAAGTACACGAGAAGTTCCATGTTTTACAGCTTTTACACAGACCCTTCGTAAAGCCAAGCTTGGAACTAAACTAGGACATGTACTTAAATCACATTACCGTTTGGTGCGGTGGGAGGGGACCAGACGCCATAGTATTTGGGCAGATGTTTCCGCAGCTCCAGGAGAACAGTGTCGGCACAGTCAGCAGCGTAAACCTGGACAGAGGTGAAGGGCTGGTCAGGTTTCCATGACCCCTCAGGAAAACCAAGCATAACAGACCTGCAATTCATCCTGTATGGGTTTGTAAAATTAACTAGCTACTTACAGCACACCATCCTGACAGTCCACAACAGTCTCCTGGTGTTAAGTCCTGCCTGTCAACATCTTTCAACTATTTGCTACTATGTGAGTTGTACATAACTGACGCCAAATTCAACGCAATTCTCTGAACACAGGCAAGTAAATTCTAGGGTATAGGAGGCACTCGGGTAACTTTTGAGCCATTTCCATTTGCATCTCTTATATTTGTTCATTTAGTGTGTGTTTGTGTATGTGTGTGTAGAGGACAACTTAAGGACATCAATTATTTCCACCATGTAGACTCCAATCAAACTCAGGTTATTGGGTTTAGAGACAAGCTCCCTTACTGGCTGAGCCACCTTGCCAACCCCCTGGAATCATCTGTAACACTTGCCTGGTTTTCTCGCTAAATTAAATATCTTACACATTATCTATTTTATATCTATGAGACAAGCTTTACTCATTTTAAACTTTGAGGGCCAGCTTTAATATACGCTTAAATGATACATAATTTTGAGTGAGCACACTACACAGGTTAAGAGAATCAAACTACGGTAAACTTTCACTCACACATGCTAAACTCAAGGCTGGCACACAGAGCTCTAATTCCAGTCTTCACGGCCAGGCTCTCACCATTCCTCTGGAGGGAAAACAATCTGTACTTCTTGGGAATGGCTCACTTACAGGGTGAGCTGTGAGCTGCTATACCGGTGTGGCCCAACCCCAGTGCCCCAGATGTGAACACATCTGGAGACAGCATACAAGATCATTGTGGTTAAAACCAGGGCTCATCATGCTGAGAGTGTTCTCAGGATGTGCATTAGGACACAAACCCACAGAAGAAGATCTGAGGGAACTGCCCATGGGCAGGAGAAGGAGAGGCCTATGGAAGAAACTCCTCTGAGTGCAGCCTGACCAGGAGGCTAAGCCAGAACTTCACTTCTGTATTTCAAGCCAAACAACTTGTGTTACGTTGTTATGGCTGCCCTAGTGAGTCAGCTTGCTACCTAAACTCCCGCTTCTTGTGGAGGAGAGCTTTTAGGGGGTCAGAGACAATACAGGACAGAAGACAGTAGTACCAGAGGGAGAGGAGCTCCCAGCAGGGTGGAGGCACCTTCAGGCGCTCTTAATCAGAGCAATCAATAAAAGCCCAAACAAAACCAACTGGAGTTGGGAGTGGCGGTGCACACCTGCAATCTCAACACTTGGGAAACTGAGGAAGACTGCTGCAAGCTTGAGGCTGTCCCGGGCTTCTTAGTAAATTCCTAAGCTATACAATAAGACCCTTTCTCAGAACAGCAACGGAAGAAATAAGCTGGGCCTCATCAAAATTTATGACTTTGTGTTTGAAGGGTTACTAGCAAGACAGTGTAAAAACAACTGTAGAATGGCAAGGAGTGCCTACAAGCGAGCCGGTGTTTGGTCAGGGGCTTATATTCACAGTGTACTACTGTAGGGATGTAACTGAACTTTTTATATGCACTTCAACTGCAAGGGGGGAACATTTGACCAAGCATTACCCAAGAGAAGGCACACAAAGGCCAGCAAACACATAGGGAAAATGTATGTCTGTGGCTGGTGGGCAGGCAAGGTGGAAACACATGGTTAAAATGTTTTGAAGTTAAGAAATAACTGGTGGTCAGGGAACACTGTGAACACACTAAAAATTCATTCTGGGTCATATGACGAATTAGGTATTAGAAACAAGCCCTTCTCCCACAGTGCAGAGAAACCTTGAAGACTCAGAGGCAGGGCATGGTGACACATAGCACCGGGGAGGCTGAGGCACTGTGATAAAACAGTGAGATTCGGCCTCACAAAGCAAAACAAACAAGCCTCTAAAAAGCTTCAATAAAAACCCTAACTTGGCAATTCTGAGTGTGACAAACTCTCTGTTAAGTGTTTTTCAAATTGTGGGTCACGACCAGTTGATTGAAATCAAGTTAGTGACTCAGAATAAGAAATTAAGATGTGAAACAGAACAGAAAATAATAGGCTGAAGCAGAAGCACTGGGAGATAAACCGTTTCCACAAAGCATGAGGCTTGTCTGTTACATGGGGACCCAGGGCATGCTATCAAACACGTTTCCCACTCTGAGTCACGGCAGAAAACTGAAGAGCACGTAAAACAACAAAGCATCTTGCATCACTTACCATGGTATAAAATTCCAGCTCTCTCGGGCCCCGTGGCGGCGGCTGTAGCTGTTTCAGAACTGTACCATCTGGGTGTTGGAGTATGCCTGCATAACAGAAATCAGATGACAGTCAGTGCTTTGCTTACAGTCTCCTGCTTCTCAGGGAGCATTTGCTTCTGCAATAGCCGACCAAAAGCTTTCATACATGTAAAGACTTACTGTTACTTGTTGCTGAAGTTTTAACACTCAACCAACACTTTCTTCTCTCTAAATTTGGAAGCAAGCTTGTTTTACATGTCAATACCAGTTCTTTCCCACTCCCCTACTTCCCCTATGCTCCCCCTGCTCCCCAGGGAGGGTAAGGCCTTCCATGGGAGATCTTCAAAGTCTGTCATATCAGTTGGAGCAGGGCCTAGACCCTCCCCCCCCCCATGTGTCTAGGCTGATAGAGTATCCCTCTATGTGGGATGGGCTCCCAAAGTCCATTTGTATGCTAGGGATATATACCAGAGGCCCCATAGACTGCCCAGTCCTCCTAACTAACACCCACATTCACGGAGTCTGGGTCAGTCCAATGCTGGTTTCCTAGCTGTAAGACTGGGATCCACGAGCTCCCCCTTGTTTAGGTCAACAGTTTCTATAGGTTTCTCTAGCCTGCTCTAGACCCCTTTGCTCAACACTTCTTGTCTCTGCAACTGGATTCCAGGAGTTCAGCTCAGTATTTGGCTGTGAGTGTCTGCTTCTGCTTCCATTAGCTACTGGATGAAGGCTTTAGGATGGCAACCAACACTTTCAATACTTGTTACAAAGAGAGACAGACCAGTGTTACTGTGGAAGCTTCACCCCAGCCCCTGGCATCCATATACCCAAAGAGTCTGGGATGTTATGGTGGAAGTTCCACCCAGCCCCATCCCCTATCTCCAAACCCTGCTGTGTCTCAGAGAGCCAACCAAATGGTGACCCCTCCCACAGAGATGCTCAGAACCACTCCCACTGGGTATTTCAACTGCCTCCCAGAAAACAGACTTGTGGCTTTTCCAGTCTCTCCCATCTCCTCTTTGCGGGGGAGGGGGGGGAGGCTGGAAGGCCATAGGGAGTGTTGTATTCATTAAACGTGGGTTTTTTTTTTTTTTTAATTCGGTCTGATTCAGTCTGATTGGGTTGCTGCATCGGCAGAGAAGCTTGTTGGGATACAAAAACTTTTCAACCAGCACACACTTAAGCTTTATTATCTTCAATTCTCCCTTAGGGAGATTCTCTTATGGCCCCATGGTTTTTCTGGAAACTTCTCAGTAATAGATTTTCTATGATATGTTATGATTAAATAAAGAAAACAAAAGCAGTAACACAAATCCAGCCCATTTTTATAAACAAGAAAAAAAATGTGTGTTTACAATAGCCATATACGAATTTCATATTTGGCAATGTTTTATAATTCTCTCATCTTCCCAGCTCTGATGTACTGTGTGTGCACAGCTGTGCAAGGTCCCAGCCTGGAGCGGTCACCGATGCCTTTCTATAATCTGCCCATGCAACAAGGGAGTCTTTTTCCAAATCCCCATACACATACCAACACTGGCACAATCCATGCTAGTACCAGCACTCATTATACACTGAAATCTTAAGAGATACATGTATCTCTACAGGCCAGAAGAGGGCACCAGATCGCATTACAGATGGTCGTGAGCCACCATGTGGGAGCTGGGTGCTGGGAATTGAACTCAGGACCTCTGGAAGAGCAGGCAAATCTCATAACGTCTGAGCCATCTCTCCAGCCCCAAAATCTTAAATCTTTATCTACTGGGATTTCACAGAGCCATGACTGGGACATAATTCTACTTAGAATTTATAAGATACTCCACTTTGTCTATCCTGCCTTTTGGCAAGTAACAGCTACTCTTGTTATTGTTGTTTGCTTTTCTTTGATATTTTGAAACATAGTTTCTCTGTGTTATAACCTTGACTGTCCTGGAATTTACTTTATAGATCAGGCTGGCCTTGAACCCACAGAGATCCTCCTCCCTCTGCCTCCCGAGTGCTGGGATTAAAGGTGTGTGGGGTAGCAGACTGGACCCAAGACTACAACCCCAGAGGGACAGACCACTGGGTCCGACCAAATAACCAAGTTTTCATAATCCCAGTCCCAGGTAAATGAAGTCAAGGCCCAACTGAAGCGTGGCATCTGAGATAGAAGCTAAAAGTCCCAACCAGCAAGCTCCATGTTGCTTGGACGGCGGCCATTAACCAACTCGCAGCATGGTTCTCCAGAGCTCTGCTAAGACAGGCCCTTTGGAGGTAAAACCAAACCATTCACTCCTCTCTCCAGTGTTCTGTAAGCAGGAATGCCCTATGTACAATAGCAAATTATGAGGCATACTAAAGAACAGGAAGAATGGTGTGTAATCAACAGAAAGCTGACGCACGACGGCCACATGATTATAATTAGGAAGCAAGCATGTTCAACAAAATCCTGGGTATGCTACAGAAATTAGAGAAAAGTGCAAAGTCTGAGAAAACCCAAGGAAATTCCAGAATTGGAAAACAGCACATGAGATGTGGACAATTTTGGAGGAGGGGTGGTAGATCAAATTATCATAGAAAAGAGCAACATGAACTTTAAGAGAGGCCAGCAGCTAGTGTGATACCAAGGAAGGCTGAGGAAGGACCGTACAAGTTGTAGGTCAGCCAGAGTAACTGATAAATACCCTCTCTCAATATAAAAGGGAAGTTGGACGTGGTGGTATACACCTTTAGTCTCAAAACTTGAGAAGCAGAGACAAGCAGGTCTCTGAGCCCTAGGCCAGCCTGGTCTACATTGCAGGTTCCAGGACAGCCAGGGTTACAAAGAGGTCTCAAAACAAACAAACAAACAAAAGTAATAATGACAAAAGGGAAAGGGGCACACATGCTGGCACAAGACATTATCCCAGCTCTGAGTCCCAGGCCAGCAATAATCAAGTATACCTAGGGGAGTGACAGGAACATGTAAGGATCCATGTGAGGCAGGGCCAGATAGCTGGGAGCCACCCAATGGAATGCTGGTACCTGAACCTGGCATCTGCACAACAGCAGGCTGTCACAGCTGCTCAAGGGTTCTCCTGTCCCAGTCTGGGGCTCTGGCCATCTTCATCTTTGAGAACTCCATACCTGCTGAACACTTGCCTGTCATTGCTGCTAGCCTGTGTCAGCCACTGTTCTGCTTTCTAAGAGTGTGAACACATTAGATGCTTCAGGAGAGTGGAATCCAGAAGAACCTGGCTCTTCGACTGGCTTATCTCAGGCACCATCCTAGGTAATTTGTTACGCAGCTGCTGCTGACTCATTGAGCCTTCTGGCTTTGAAACAGGCCCTAGGTGTTAGTTCCTGGTGTGGCTGACTAGCTGGATCACTGCTCTCAGCTGTTTTACTCCATCTTCCCTCAAATGCCCCTGCCTCAGAGTGGAGCCCCACATGTTCCTGACCCTCCCCTAGGTATACTTGATTGTTGCGGGCCTGGGACTCAAAGCTGGGCTTAAAGGCATGTGCCATTTCATAATGACAAGGCCAGTTTATTAAAAATACAAAATTATTAAAGATACAAAATTACAGATGTGCAAATTAACACAGCTTCAGGATACAGGGAGCAAAAAAGACAACTGAAACAATAAACAAATCCACAGACTTTCTAGGTATTTGGTGGGGATGGCATTGCAATGATTTGTATATATATAAAATCATTGCAATGCCAAATATATCCTGAACAGCCAAAAATTGGCCAATTTATATAGTAGAGAAGCTGCATCCAGCTTGCACCTTGTGACTACAGTCCCAGCTGAGGTAGAAAATCCCTGCACATTCAAGAGCGTCTGGAAACAGGACAGGAGAAAGAACTACATCCTGCAGAACACACAAGCCCTTTGAACGTAAAGGCTCCATTTACCAAGCCCCAAATTTACAAGGATTTGAATCCTGCAGGATACCCTCAAATCACAGCAGCAACAGCAAGACATGTGTGGAAATACCAAATAATAGGAAATAAACAGCACCAGTGTAATCACACATGGACCAAACCACCGGAGAAACGAGGAAGCACTCTAAGTGATAGAGAAAGCACAACACACAGCAGTTTGCCCAGGGCAACTCACAGTGAAAAGTGTAGTTTTGCTGCCAAATCTAAGGACATGAGTGCAATCCCTCTAAACCACATGGTGGAAGAGAAAACATTCCACAAGTTACTCTACTCGGGCATCCTGCCCATCCCTTACCACCACCAAACTAATAAATGTAAAAAGAAGGCATTAAATATTTCTATCATTCAGGAAATGGAGCCATGCTTACTATAATAGAAGAGGATGTGCTAGCTTCACATAAATACTTAATACTTAAAGTTCTGTCAAAAGGACAACAGAGGATAACAACAAAACAAAACAAACAAACAAAAAAAAAAATCAATGAACTCAAAAGTGACTGATCTAGAAAACTGGTAAGCAACTTGATGAACAGATCAAGGAAAAAGAAGGTAAGTTATTATTATTTAGGAATAAATGAACACACAAAAGAGGAGGCTCATGATGTTACCATCAACAAAAGCCACAACTTCCATCAAACAAATTCTTTTAAATGCATATCATTACACCTGACCAGGGGTGAAACAAATCTAGGGGCCAGGGCTGAGACAGGGGCTGCTGACAAAGAGATCTCCCTGTAAGCATGTAGCCTTCGGTTTAAGCTTCAGCATGGCAAAGAGAGTGGGTGGCAGAAGAGAAAGAAATCCAAAGGCAGCCAAAATGGCCTCCTAGTGACTGTTCCCAACACAACAAAATCAAACAAACAAAAAGAACAATAGTAATCTCATCAAATTTCTCAGGAAATAAGATAGTATCTTTCTCAGCTGTTTTGTTTGTTTTGAGGTGGGTCTGAGAGGGTTATGGTAAGAGGCTGTATAGCCCAGAATGACTTAGAACTTACTGTCCATCCCCATGCCAGCCTTGATCCTCCTGCGTCAGCCTCCCAAATGCTGTTCTCTATGGTCAATTCTCTGTATTAGTAGTTCTCAACCTGTGTGTCTCAACTCCTTGGGGGTTGCATATCAGATATTTTCATTCCGATTAATAACAGTGGTAGAA